TCTTTGGTGAAGTCTTTATTCATGTCTTCTGCCCTTGTTTTAGTTGGATTATTTGTCTTTTTGTTGTTGAGGTGCTGGAGTTTTCTATAAATTCTGGAGATAAGTCCCTTGTCAGATATCAGACTTTGTTTCTTGTATTCTGATTATGTTATCAGAAAGGACCAGTCCCTGGAGAGGGATATCATGGTTGTTACAGTAGAGGGTCAGTAAAAAAGGGAAAGGCCCTCAATGAGATGGATTGAAACAGTGGGTACAACAATGGGCTCAAGCATAGCAACAACTGTAAAGATGGCATAGGAACAGATAACGGTTTCATTCTGTTATACATAGGGCCATTAGGAGTTGAAATCTTATGAAGGTACCTAACAGCAACAACAATATATGTTATATGTTTTAATTTCATGTTTTCTCATTCACTCTGGTCCTCACAAAACCTTTTAGGATCAGAAATTTTTATAACCCAACCATTTCAATTGTTATATGTTCCAGGGAACAAAGATTTATAGTTTTATTTCATTTAAATTTGACTTTACTGTTCATTTAGTTATAAACTGTTATAACTATTTGCTGTGATTTACACTTACTCTCTATATTTTACATAGTTATCTTAAATTTCTAATATCTAAAGTTGCTACTGACATAGTTCATGAAAAATTCATGTCTTTTTCTATCCAACAGACTTTTATTGGGGACATCCTTTTGCTTGTTAATCCATTCAAGGAGCTTCCAATTTATTCTACCATGGTGAGTATAAAATTTATAGTATTGTTGAAGAATGTTGAGTTACACTCACTAATATGATTGTTTGTACCAAATGATAAAGAAAGAAAACTGAAATAGCAATTAAGTCATACTTCTTAGAAATAAAAATAACTCTAAATTGAATTGTTTCATGCTAGTACCAATAATTTATTCTGAGGCAACTGAAAATTATATTTATTTTATCAGAAGTTTCTTCTGCACTTATAATATGCAGTTCTTATGTAATTGTAGTCACTAGACAGAAATCTAAAATTAAATAAATTAATTACAATGATATATTTTCCATACATTCTCAACTAATTCAAGATCAGTTAGTAGAGAGTCATTATTTGAACACCATGACTTGTTGTTGAAGAAGTTCTATGATGTTAAAATTATGAGAAAAAGAAGGGGTAATATTGCATTTGTATATATCCCCAAATAATTTGCCATTTTTAACTATGAGCATTTCTGTAACAATGAGAAATTACTTTCAGGAAAGTATTAATTATAATGGATGAGAGAAATAAACATAGGAGTGCTCTCTCTCTCTCTCTCTCTCTCTCTTTTTAATGTAACCATAAGTACAGTTCCACTGAGTAGCAGAACCCTTGATAAGGAGAAGGAACAATATGTTCCTGAAGAAATTTCACACTGTAAGGGAGGAAAGTAAGGAGTGAGACAGAGACAAACAGATGGATGGACGAGTGCATGGATGTAAGGGAGATAGATTACTCAGACAATCAAATAAAAATTCTCACAGAAATGCCTCATGAAACCAAGATTGTGCCCTTTAATGCTCCGTGCTCCACCTATCTGACAAAGATTCTGTATCCGTTTTTTTTAACACTGTGTTGAAACTTCTCTACTCATCTAATTCCATGCAAAATTACCCCAACCCATCCTCTGGGCAATCTAAGAATATGTGGGAGAATGGTAGACTACGGCAAGAAGAATTACCCTTTGTCATTTCATGAGTTTTATCAGAGGATTAAAATTAATCTGATATATGATTATTAAATAGTTTGAGAGAAGACTTCATACTGTGCCTGTCACTTTGCTGTTGAGCCGTAACTAGTTTCTTAAAAATATGTTTATTAAAGTCTAATATACATACCGGGAGCACCAGTGGCATAGTGCCTAAGGCATTTGACTGCTAACCAGAAGGCTGGCAGTTCAAACTCACCAGCCACTCCTCGGAAAGAAGATTGGGCAATCTACTTCCATAGAGATACTGCCTCAGAAACCCAAGAAGAGGTCGCTATGAGTGGCAATTGACTCGAGAGCAGTGAGGGTTTTTTTTTTTTTTTTTAATATACATATTATAAAGTATACCAATCTCAAGTGTTCTGCTCAATTAACTTCTACAAAGTAAGGATATTCTTGAAACCCTGATGCAGATCAAGAAATAGAACATCCGTAGCATCTCAAATGTCTCCCCATGTCCCACCTCAGCTACTACACATCTACCCAAAGGTTATCATTGTTCTGATTGTTATCACTGTTTACATGTATGAACGTGGATGAGTGGAATCATACAAGGTATTCTCTTTTATATTTGGTTTCTTTCTTTCAATATTAAGGATGGGGGATCCATCTGTGTTTTTGTGCATAACAGTTTAGTGTTTTTTCATTTTTTATAAAATTACTTTTTATGAATGTGTTGTTGTTGTTGTTATGTGCCGTTGAGTTGGACCCGACTCATAGCGACCCCCTCCTTGGGTTTCCCAGGCAGTGTCGCTATGGAAGTAGATTGCCCTATCTTCCTTCCGAGGAGTGGCTGGTGGGTTTGAACCTCCAGCCTTCTGGTTAGCAGTGAAGTGCCTTAGGCACTACGGTACCAGGGCTCCCTTTTATGAATATATGACAAGTTAAATAACAATTGTTGGAAATTTCACCTCTTTCCAGTTTGGGGCTAGGATGTTACTGCTATGCGCATCCTTGTACTTTTTAGATAGAGCATGTACTGCTTCTGTTGGATAGATACCTAGCAGTGGTTTAGGTGTCGATGATACATTTTCTGATTGTGTGTGTGTGTATGCATGTGTGTTTGCCTGAAGAATTTTTCCTTCATCTTCATCTTTAACAATATTTTCACTGCTTATCAAAACTTTAGTTGAAAGTTATTTTCTTTCAGCACTTTAAAGATATCATTCCATTACTTTCTAGCTTCAATTGTGTTTCCTGAAAAACAGCTAGTAGTCTCAGCATTGCTCCTTCAAAGCTAATGTTGTTTTGTTTTCCTGCACGTTTCTATAAGTTTTTAAAATTTTCTCTTCTTTTTTTTTTTTTTTTTTTGCCATTTGCATGCATTAAAGTGTGGTTTTGTTTTCATCGTGAATATTGTAGCTTTTCATGTGCTTCTCTATGTATTTGTCAATTTGGAAAATTCTCAAATGGTAGTTTTTCAAATGTGTTATTTTCTTATTCTGAGACTCAAGTTACCTACATATGTCTCTAAGTTGTTTACTTTTTCCCTTTCTTTTTGACCTTTGTTGGTTTCTTTCTTAAAATATAAATACATATTGCCTACCAGTTTTGCTGGTTATTACTTCTTTCTTTTCTTATTTTGTATCTTCGTATAATCTATTCAATTATTTTATTTATCAATCCTGGAATTTTCATTTTATACTTGTACATATTCTAATTCTCTATTCTAATACTCCCATGTTCTCACTATTTTATTGAATAAGTTAATCCCTGTTATTTTAAAGTCTGTGTCCAAAAACTATAAGATCTGAGTCTGTTTCTAATGTCTGTTTATTTCTCTGTTATTTTTGTACTGTATGGGCATATTTATTGATGTTCCTGGAAAATATCAACTGAATATTGAAACTTATATATGAAGAATTCCATATTTTCAGAGACATGAATGATGTTATTTTCTTCCAAATATGATTTTATTGTCTTCTAGTAAGCAGATAATTATTGGTATATCCAGTTAAAGCTTATTTGTTTAATTGTACTTGTTTATAAAACTTGTGCTTTTATAGGTCTTAACTGAGAAATTGGAGTTATAGATCTATTGAGATTTTTTTCTCTTGCTGAACTGAAATTTGTATCACCCAGCACTATGACACTGCTGTCCAAAATTTCTTGTTGGACACTTACTGTATTCTTTATGAGTCCTCTGAGTTTTATTCAGTCAATTATGATGAGAATATAATTAGTAAATATCTGATTTGACTCAGTTCATTTGTTTTGATTTTTATTATGATTTGGGTGAAAGTTTACAGAGCAAATTCATTTTCCATACAGCAACTCACATACATTTTGTCTCATGACATTGACTGCTATTCCCCACAATACAACAGCTCCCCCCCACACCTCCTCTCCATAGTTACCTCTTCCCTGTGTCCTTCAGTCCCATGTGCTCTTGGCCCCTCAGCTGTCTCCCTATCTATATACAGTGCCTCTGTTCTCCCATGATTGATCTCTCCAAGGAGTGTATCTACCTAATGTAAATGTTCAGCTCATGTGTCTGTCTTTTGTTTGGATGGAAGCCACAGGAGTAGATTCAATTTCAGACCTGAAGGGCAGCTAGGGGCCATAGTCTCAGGGATTCATTCCATCAGGCTCTATCAGACTAGCAAACCTGATCTTTCTTTCTTTTTTTTTTTTTTTTTTAATGATTTTGAGTTTTGTTCTACATTGTTCCCCATACTATCCAGGATCTCCTACATAGATCCCCCTGCTAGGGGTTGAGAGTGGTAACTGGGCACAATCTAGTTCTTCTGGTCTCATTGTCATATAGGCTAAGGATCGCACGGTGTATCAGTCACTTCAACTAATTGTTCCCATGAATCTTTGGTTTTCTTCATTCTTTGCTCTGGACAAGGAGAGACCCATCATTGCATCTAGATGGCCACTTGCAAGCTTTTAAGATCTTGGTTGCTACTCACCAAACTAGGATGTGGAGCAATGTTTCTGTGTAGTATGTTATGAAAATTGAGCTTGATGTCCCCTGTGACCATGGTCCTGAGCCTACAGGACCAACTACTCGCTCCCTCTGGGTAGCGGGCTATGGCCAAGAAGTGATTACATCCTTTTTCCTTGTCACCTTTACTATATGTCTGGAAATTCTTACAGAACACACAAATACACTTGTAGAAATATTGTCTATCAACCCTATACATGATCTTGGACACACTTCCACCTGCATAGACATATCTAATAGTTCAGCTTGTCCATCCATCTATCCACCCATATATCAATGCTGCCATCACTGACAAAGCAGTATTATATTTACAGAACGTTTCTTCTTTGTTTCTGTACCTCCCATTCACCTCTCTGTCTTCCTTTTCTTCAGTGCCATCATTTTGCTCATTCAGATTAGTACATTCCCCTTTCCTTCACCCAAATCAACACTTGTCTCTACCCATCCAGCAGTGTTCCCTCCCCTCCCCTCTCACCCTTGGTAACCAACAAAGAAAATTTCCTTCCATATAGAAACCTTTCTTTGACTTTCTACAATATGGACTAATAAAATATTTGTCCTTCTGTGATTGATTTATTTCACTCATATTATGCAGTTTTTTCAGTTTCTACGTTATTCTTTAGAGTTGCATAGTATTCCATTGTGTGTATGTACCATAGTTTGGTTATCCATTCTTCAGTTGATGGACACCTAGGTTGTTTCCATCTTTTGGTTATTGTAAATAGTGCTGCGATGAACATGGGTGTGCATGTCTGTTCTTGCCTGACTCCCACTTCTTTAGGATATATGCCTAACAACGGAACGACTGGGTCAAATGGTATTTCTAATTCCAACTTTTTAAGAAATCACCATACTGCTTTTCACAGTGTTTGTGTCAATTGACAGTCCCACCAGCAGTGTATGAGAGTCTCCATCTCTCCGTATCCTCCCCGGCATTTGTTATTTTCTGTCTTTTTGACCTTTGCTACTAGTGCTGGGACAAAATGGTATCTCATTGTTGTTTTGATTTGCATCTCTCTAATGGCCAATGATCATTAACAGTTTTTCATGTTTGTTGGCTGCCTGA